TCTTGTACTGGCTAAAGTGCGCACGCTCAGTGGTCGGTAAGTGGCGACGCACAGCAAGACGGGCAGCAGCATCGCGTGTGGCCCACTGTGAGCGAACAGTGCTGTCAGCAGTAGCAGGCGGGGCAGGAGAGGCACCAGAGGTGAGGTCGAACAGGGAGAGTTCGTCTGCCCTATCGCACTGTAGGAACAGCTGGAGGTCATCGACCCAGACCTCAAAGTCAACAGCACGACCCTCAGCATCAAAGGTAAGGACACTGGGGGTAGCCATGACTGCAGTGGCCTAGCAGGGAGTGATCTCACCAGTCCGAGTAAGTAGGGCCGGGGCGCGCCGGTAGGAACAGTAGCGGCTCGACGGCAGGACGGCTCGGCGGCTCGGTTGCTGGGCGGCTCGGCGGCTCGGCTGCTGGGCGGCTCGGCTGCTGGGCGGCTCGGCGGCTCGGTTGCTGGGCGGCTCGGCGGCTCGGCTGCTGGGCGGCTCGGCGGCTCGGCTGTTGGGCGCTTGGTTGCTGGGCGGCTCAGCGGCTCGGTTGCTGGGCGGCTCGGCGGTCGGCTGCTGGGCGGCTCGGCGGCTCGGCTGCTGAAGGGGCCGGGGAGGGCAGCGACGGGGCCGTAAGGGGGGGGGGGGGGCGACGAGGGCGGCGCGAGGGGCCGTAAGGGGCCGACGAGGGCGGTGCGAGGGGCCGTAAGGGGCCGACGAGGGCGGCGCGAGGGGCCGACGGGCAGCGCGAGGGGCCGTAAGGGGCCGTAAGGGCGGCGTGAGGGGCCGTAAGGGGCCGCTAAGGGCGGCGCGAGGGGCCGACGGGCGGCGCGAGATGCCGTAAGGGGCCGTAGGGCGGCACGAGGGGCCGTAAGGGCAGCGCGAGGGGCCGTAAGGGGCCGCGAAGGGCCGTGAGAGGGGCCGCTAAGGGCGACACGAAGGGGGCCGTGAGGGGCCGTGAGAGGGCGCGACGGTAGGGAGGGCACACGGGGCGCGACTCGGGCAGGAGCGAAGCACGCTCCGGGCAGGAAAAAAAAATCGTGGTGGGCCCTGTGAAGTGTTCCCACTAGGGAACCTGCTCTATACCATGTGAAGAAATGAGGAATGAATGAACTAGCAAGCAGGTGGGTACAAGTAGAAAAACCTAGAAATGTTGTACCCCATATAGTCTACCCCACTACAGCCTACACAGACTATAGCATATAAGTTTGACAGCGAATGGTCAGCTTGCGAAGGCACGGCAGCAAGTCTCCCATTCGGTCGGGAAGGGTCTCCAACCCACTGCAGTTGGTAATCAGCAGCTCCTCAAGCCCGATGAACGGCGATGCTAATGGAAAGATGATGTCCCACTCAGGACAGGAAACGAAAAACTTTAGCGATTTCAGAGGAGACTGCAGCGCCACACTTGCAGCACTTGCGGGCTGATAATTCTGGTAATGGCCGAGGGTGGAGAAATGGGCGAGTCGTGGGAGGTGAAGGAGGCTGGACAAGTGCCAATGGTTCGTGGGAAAGGTGAGGTACAGGGTGGTAAGAGAAGTGAGGTTTGTAAAACCGGGGTTTCTGATGATTGCAGCGTCGGTGAGAAGAAGGGTGTGCAGACGCGTCAATTGAAAGACGGAATATGGGAGCAGGGTAACCTGCTCCAATTCGGGAAGCCTTTGAAAAAACCCATCCAAGCCCTCCGTAGTTATTGGATGCTCTTTCCTACGATAATGCTTAACCTGGCTATCAAGGCCGAGAGGCAATTGGCGCGCAAACCTCCTTCCCACATGGAGAGTTGTCAGCTTCGGGCATGACGAAGCTAGGTGAGCAAGGAAGGCGTCGTCGACCCACTCGATGACGTTGCCGCTAAGATGCAGATGGGAGAGGTTGGGGAAGCGCGTGACGGCGGCTGAGAGATCCTCTCGGGACACCGGAATATCTCCTTTGACAGAGAGCGTGGTCTCGTGAAGCTTCATGACATCACGCCAACGACGGCAGACGGAACCGAAACGGAGTTTCTGAGCCACGTCGGCGGCTGGAGGAGGGGCTGGTACGGGTGTCTTCATTAACAGCAGATCTGCTTCGTCTCTAGGTTCATCAAGTGGTAAGAAACGGCGACTGGAGGTCCACAAGGTATTCATGAAGGACTCGCATGAAGCAAGTTGTTTGAAAGACAGCCTCAGGATCGTAAAGAGTAGGTCGTCTGGTAGACTATTAATACTCGTAGGCTCCATCTTAGAAGTTCGAACGATAAGAACTCTGGAATCAGCAGATGCTGGGCTACGAAACGGCAAGAAGTTAAAGGTGGCTCTAAGAAGCGTAACGAGGAATAGGAAGTAACTCACAGGAAGAGTGGGAGTTAACAGAGTGGATCCAGATCTGGTACATAGTGTAGCATATGTGCGATCTGCTAAAGAAGGGATGAAGGAAATGGAAGGATGGACAGCATGTTCGAGATTAGAGCCGACGTCCTAAAATCGACACTGGGTCCGACAAGTGACGCAGCAACGGCGCAAGAGAGATCTGCACGGAACGGTTGTGGCGTTTGAGTTTCAATCTGGCTGATCCGGGACGCCAGGGTCAATCCCTGGAATGCCATCGGATCCAGTTCTGCCCATCCCACGACGAGACGGGCTTTTCGATCCCCGTTTGGACGAAACACAGATTATGAATGAAGCGACGACTACGGCATGAGAGCCAGGAAGCAGGAGCTGCAAGCTTGATTCCCAAATTCTAGATTTTGCTTCCAGGCATTTGCTACCACAGCTCGTTATTCCAGCATGGAAGGAAATGGAGGTACCAAGGTATGAGATCTAACGGAAACTCGCAACCGCGAGAGAATTACAACCTGGATCGGTGATTCATCTTTACTCGCGTGGCCTCGAATTACTCGAGTGGCCACCAAATTTGGTGATAATTACTAGAGTGGCCACGCCAGGGGATTCCCGCTGGCTCTGTTTTTCTCGGCGCATTACCCTACTAGGGTTCGTATCCCCGAAACATCTGTATTGATAATTGCACGATTTTCAATTTACGCGATGATTTATAATAGATGTTTTCGCGTGATGATTTATATTCGATATTTATGTTCGTGACTCTATATGACCGAGCCTGATTGGACGCGCATATAGTCGACAAATCATGCGCGGTCATTAATGGTCGGGCACATCATATACTAATGTCCGATCATATATTTCCGCGATCATAAACTGCAATGCCCGGGCGTCAATGCGCGGGACATTAAATGACCGCGCATGATTGGTCGATTATATGCGCGGTGTTTTGTTTTGCAATGCACGTCCAATCAGGCGCGGTCATATGGGGTCACGATCATAAATTTCGGATATTGAAGATCGCGCATTAATCAGTACAGATGTTTCGGGGATACAAACCCTTGTAGGGTAATGCGCCGGGTAAAACAAAATCAACTTCAATCCCCTGGCGTGGCCACTCGAGTAATTATCACCAAATTTGGTGGCCACTCGAGTAATCCGAGGCCACGCGAGTAAGGATGAATCACTGATCCAGGTTCTACAGTAATTCTCTCCGCAACCGCTCTAGGCAGACGGGAATCAGCCTCGGCTCCCTCGAACTGATGACCAGCTTGTTTTCCATTCGTCCGCGAGGGCTTGCTACGAAATCAATTTCAGGGCCCAGCTCTTTCGCAGTGTGCTCGTGTCTCAGTGACGAAATTTGGTCTTGTAACCCTCTGCATGAACGTGTAGGGAAACACGCCTGGTGGCACACATCGCTGGAATTGGAGGGGTTGAATTCGAATTCAATCAGGTGCACTTCGTTTCCTGATGAGGCTCATCCAATCATCTAGGTATTGCCATCTCATAATCCCTTCCCAAGTTCCTTGTTCCATCATTGTAAGACTTGCTCAGCAGGTACGCGATATAAATTAGAACCTCAGTAACTCTCACACGCGACGCGAGTAAGCGAGAGTGCAACGGCGGCATTGCTCCTTTCCATTGTCCAAGACAGTGGCATTGTCATTCATGGGCTTCAGTAGTACCACATCTGCTACTCCGCCCTTAGTAGCGGCACGGAAACCGCCGGGCGATAACCCTCAAGTACCTTGAGGCGCTTCTCTCGCCGCGCACTGATGCGACGAGCGCGCACAGCTTCTCACAGGCAGCAGCAGACTTTTGCGGAAATTCGAAGTCGCTCCGAATCCCGAATTTTAAATACCGAATCCTGGTTTGCTCTCACACGCCCGTAGTCTCCCCCCTTTCGTCCTCTCGTCCTCGACGGTGCCTTAAGTCAGCGCTCTCTTCCGGTCATGATCCACCTTGCTGCGGCTAGGTCAATCCCGGTGAACGGAGATCCGCATTTTCACTCATGTGATTCCTGCCACGGACGCCTTTGGGACGCCAGAATTCTCTTGATGGACGCGCGAAGAGACATTCGCGTCGGTCAGAGGTGATGTCCTGCCGAGCGGTTGCTCGCACTGGCATATGCTGTTTAGGGCTTATAAAAAAAGGCCTTTCCTCCGAGACGTCGGGAGATGTCTTGGGAGCCATGCTTATGCACTCTTAAAGACGGTGAGTCAGAGGGTTGCAATGACGCGGGAACGCTGACGGTAGGCCGCAGCTTTTCGTTTCTCGTTATTCCCTGCATGGCGTCACAACAGCAAGCCGTTTTGTTGCCTCTGTTTAGATGAGTCCAGTCTACAACAACGGTCCACAAATTGGCTTTACGGGACACGATGGCATGATGCATGAAAGCGAAGGTTGCAATATGATGACGCTGGACGGATCGGACAGATTCAGGAAGATACAGTTATCGCGTGGTTCCACTGACATCCTCGTGTCACCTATTACTTTGGCATGTTGACGTTTCTTGTGCCTCGTTAATTCCCTGCATCATATTTTTGCTCTCAGCTAGTACTGACATACCTAGTAGCTCCTGCCCTCGTCTGTCCGCACTTATGTTTCCGCCTTTTCTCTCTCATTCTCGCCCCTCCCTCTTCCCCCCATCCTTCTCCACCCCCCTTCCCCCCCTTGACCCCCCTTTCTTGCCCTCATCCAACCCTCAGTTGAATCGCTGCTTCTCTGTTCGCACCTCCTCACGACTCCAGCCAGAGATTGGAGGCCAACAGCGCACATGGGGAGGTGGCAGGCAGGCAGGACGCGAGGTTCAAATGGCTGCTCACAACACAAGTGCCATTGCAGCTCAGCAATCACACGCCTGCTGCTCTTGTGGCTTCGGATGGATTCGCAATACGATTGGGGTAAGCGCAACTTTGTCAACGATGGGAGTGCTTCTGTAGAAAAGATTGGTATTGTTAAGACGAGAGCGGTCAAAGGTCGGTATGTGTGTGAGAGAGCCAGTGAGGGGACTCTGTGTGGTAGGGGCGGGTGCGATATTCACTCAAATTGGGGTGAAGGGGTGGTGAAGACGTGGGGAGGGAATGCTGCTTGGGGGCCGGGCGGAGGCCGTAGGGGATGCATGTTACCGATGGGTGGCAGGGGCCTGGGGGCGGTTGACAGTCTGAATATTGGCAAGGTGGGAGTCGTTGCAGGGTGGGGAGATGTGTGTAGGAATCTCTCAAGTCACTCGAATCACTTAAGTCTCTTGAGTCACTCACTGGTGATGGTAAGATGGGGGCAGTGGAGGTGGGAATTGCTGAGAGTAGGTGAGGAATGGGTGAGGAGTTGGAGAAGGTAGTTGTGAGAGTAATTGGAGTGGAGGGAGCTGATGGGAAGGCCAGGTGAGACTCATTCCCTCTTCCCCCCTCAATGATCTCCCCCTCCCCTCCCGATTCCTGATTCCCTCTTCCGCCTCCACACCTGCTTCGCATGCGCCCATGCCTGCCCCCCAGCTCGCACTCGTGCTCACACAGCACGTGCGCACTGTTCACCAAGGGGTGCAAGTCATCCTCCCCTCCCTTCCGCAGGCCCTCTCCCTCCCCAACCACCCCTTCCGCACCCCTCTCAGCTCCTTACCTGCTTCTTCTATGCCAACCCCTGCCCCACGGATCCCTGCCCTCCCCTCCCCATACCCTCTCTCTCCCCTCTGCTTTCCCAGCCACCCCCCCAGCTCCGCACCTGTTGCACCTAATCCGGCGTCTGCCCCAATGATTCCTGCCCCTACTGTGGCGCCGCATTACTCTCCCCTTTCACCTCCTCCTCCATCCCTTCAACCGACTTCCCACCCATTAACTCCTCACCACACCTGCTTCTCCTATGTCATCGTCTGCCCCACAGATCCCTGCCCCTATGTTAGGAAAGACGCAGCCAGGACGCTGCGTCCTGCGTCTGGACGCAGCGTCCGGACGCTAGGACGCAGGACGCGCGTCCAGACGCAGGACGCACGGCGAAAAAAATTTCGGGCAGCCCGAAAAAAAATTGTTTTCCGCGATTTCGACATTCGCGATTTCGGCGCGAATGTCGAAATCGCGAAATTTCGACCCCCAAAGCCCAATTCGCCATTGTAAACCAGCCCCCCCCAACATTTCATAACAACTCATGCAAATTGAGAATTCACTCACAACCCATGCGTGACGCGTGACTCACCTTAGTAAAAAAATTTGGGGGAAAAAATTGAGGTTGGGGAAAAATTTGCATTGAAAAGTGTGGTACGTCCCCCCCCCCCTCCTCTGTCAAGCCCTATACACTTTTTTTTGGCCTGCCCGGGGGTTTTTTTTGCCCTGCCCGAGATTGCGTCTTTTGGTGCGTCTTACAGGTCCAGGTGACGCGTCCTGCATCTGGACGCATGCGTCTGGACGCATTCGTCCAGGACGCAGGACGCGTCTTTCCTAACATAGCCCTGCCCATGCTGTGGCGCTGCACTACCCTCACCCGGCGCAGTCCCTTCCTCTGCCCATACCCTCTCCCGCTCCTTTATTTCTTAGCCAACCCAACCAGCTCCGCACCTGCTTCTCCCTGATAGATTCGCGCCTCTATGGTGGTTGCACTTGCACACTGCTCTCACCCACGCACTGTCCTTTCCTCTTCGAGTTCCAAGAATCCAACCCCCCCCCCCTATTACCACCAGCTCCAAACCAAACTGCACCTACTTCTCCTGCACCGGTTTCTGGCCCATGAATTCCCCCCCTGCAACATGGGCGCACTGTTCACGGTGAGCCTGCGGGCTGCTGAGCTGAGTGCACTCCTTGCTAAGGCTGCATGGCACCTTCCCTTCACCACCCACTGCCCTCCTCCTCCAACCCACCCCACTGTCCACCAGCTCCGCTCCGCACCTCCGTCTCCTACACTGTTTACCCTACGGCACTGTCTCCCACGTCCCTCTCATAAGCCACTGCGCTGTTTAACCTTTCCCCCCTCTCCTCTTCCACACCCCCCCCCCTCTTCCCACCCCACCCCCCTTGCAGCTCCGCACCTGCTTCTCCTACTCCGACTTGTGCTCCACGGACTCGCACCATTACGGCGAGATGGTGCACAGCTCACCCACGCAGAGGCTGCTGACGTGGCGGAGGCGTGCGAGAGGCTGCAGGCAAGGCTGCACTATGCACCCACCAGGTGTGCATACTGCAGCCAGCACTGGCCAACACTCTGCTCCAACCGCCTAACCCGCACCCACCTCGCTTTTCTCTCCCTCTCTCTGCCCTACCTCGAATTTCCCTCCCTCATTGCTTTCCTCGTTGCTTCTTCCTCCCACCTCCTCCTCACTCCTACACCTCACCTACAGCTTCCCAACTATCACCACATCGTAGCTTGGCTATGAACCTTCTTACTCTCTCCACTCTCTTCTTACTCTCTCCACTCTCTTCTTACTCTCTCCACTCTCTTCTTACTCCCTCGATTCTTCTCCTCAATTCCCCCTTCTCTGTTAGCGCCTCTCCACAGGTCAAGATAATTGAGGCCGCTAACACGCATGGGGAAGTGAGATCCAGATTCATGGATTTTCATGGTTGCTCACACATACCACATCAGCAATCGCAAGGCTGCTGCTCTTGTGGCTTCGAAAAGAGCTGCATGACGAATGGGGTGAGTACAATTGTGCCATGGGGGATTCGTTTGGGGGTTACTGACGATGGGAAGTTCAGTGTGGAAAAGCTGGGTATTGCCAATGTGAGAGTCGGTGACGTGTGGACGGTGTGAGAGAGTCGGTGATGTGTGGACGGTGTGAGAGAGTCGGTGATGTGTGGATAGTGTGAGAAAGTCGGTGAGTGGTCCCCTCGAGGGAGCGGCGAAGGGGGGTGAAGGAGAGTGAAGGGCGGATGATGGGCGGGTGGGGTAGCGCTGCTAAGGCTGGCGAAGGTCGTAGAGGATGCGTGGGGTGTTACCGATGAATGGCAAGGGCAACTAAATAGCTGGAGATTGCCAAAATGAGAGTGGGTGCGTGTAGGAACCTGGCAGCGGTCATTCGTCAGCAATGGTGGGAAGCGGGCAGTTGAGTAGCTGGCTGGATTTAGCCAAGCTGGGAGTTTCCGAGAGTTGGTGATCAGCCACCTAGGAGTTGCTACGAGTGGCTGTGGGATGGTTGTGAGAGTGAGAGGAGGGAACTGATGGGAAGGTGGTTGCAGCCAAGGTGCGACTCCTTCCCCCTTCTACCCTCAATCAACTCGGACTCGACTTCGTTCAGCCTTGCGTGTGTATCCAAGGCTGAATCCAGCTATTAAACTACCCGCTTCCCACCACCATGGCATGTGTGGACTTGTGACCCCCTGGCATCCGCCCCACCTGCACAAACACATTATTCACAGAGGCACTACCTCTTCCTCTCCCTTATCCCATTCCCCAGGACCACTTTCCCTCCTTCCTCCCTTTCCCCCAGCTCCAACCCTGCTTCGCCCACATCCCTCCTCCCTGCATCCGTGTCACCAACGCACTGAAACCGTCCTTTCCCCAACTCCCCCCCTCAGCCTCGCACCTGCTTCTCCTATACCCGCTTCTGGCCCACAGGTTCACGCCCCTACAGCACTATCTCTCTCTCACATGCCTCTTATAAGCCACCCACCCACCCACCCATCCAGCTCTGCTGCACGGCACCCGCCTCTCCCACAACCACAAGTCCGTAGCCACCTCTGCCCCACTGCTGTACCCTGCCTCCCCATACCCTCTCCCTTCCCCCCTTTCTCCATCCACCCCCCAGCGCTGCACTGCACCTGTTGCTCCATTCTTCCGACGTCTGGCCTGCGGATCTGCGGCCTTATGGTTTGCGGAAGGCCACATAGCTCTCGTCTCACCCACGCTCTGTCCCTTCTGCTCCCCTTCCCACCTCCTCCAACCCTTCCTCAGTCGTTCCGCCAGCTCCACACTGCACCTGCTTCTGCTGCCCTGGTTGATGGCCTGAGATCCCCGACTGCTGACGTGGCGGAGGTGGGCGATAGGCGTTGGCGGCAGCAATGGCGGCAGCAATGGCAGTGGCGGGGAGCACGGGGAGGAGGGTGGGAAGGGGGTCGAAGGGGCGGTGAAAGGAGGCTGCTGATGGGGCTGGACAAGCTTGAAGTCGCCAAGGTGACACGCTCTGAGGGGTGGATATGCGTGCGAGATTCACTTGAGAGAAAAGGGGGGAGAAGGGGTGCTCAAGGGTTTGAAGGAAGGGGGAAGGTGTGAAAGGGTGGTGAAGAAAAAAAGGGGTGACAGAACGGGGTTCAAGCAAGGGGGGATGAAGGAAAGGGGTTGAAGCCTCGTCGGGACGATGCCTCGCACTTGCCGCTGCACCACTGCCAGCGGCGCCGCTGCCAGAAACATAATCATTGCCCCCCCCCACTTGTCTCCTGCATGCGTGCCTGCCTGCCTGCGGGAACCATCATGGATTCTGAGTTCTCCGTAGAAACTATCACTTGTTGTCCTCCCGCCTCAGCCGGCATGCTATCCTTCCCACCATGGCGCTGCTCCCTTCCTTCCGTCCTTGCTCCCTCCCTCTCCCAACTCCGTCCCTCCCCCCCCACTACCCCCCCCCCCCCCTCCCCCCTTCCCCCTCCGCTCCTAAAACTTCTAGCTGACTATTGCCGGACTGCACTCACTCCTGCCACTTCTCTCAGCTTCTGACACTGTGTCGCATGTTCTATTCGCACTTCCTTTTGTAAAATTTTGAGAATTTTCAAAACTGCTTCAAGCATCGCACTGTTCCTTCCCCCTCCCCTGTCTTTCCAGCTCCGCACCTGCTTCTCCTACACCAACTCACGGATTCATCGACTCCCGTCGGCGCGGGCGCGCTGTTCACTGGCAACCTGTGGGCTGCTGACGTGGCGGAGGAGTGCGAGAGGTGGGGGGCTGCTGTGTGCCCCGTGGCAACGTTGCTGTCACAGACGAGCAATGGGGCAGGTGTGTTGTTCGGGTTTGGATGGTGTAGCAGTGGGCTGTTTGACACTTTATGAGTCACTACTGGGTCACGTGTGAGGCAAGGTTGAACCAGACTGCTGGGCGCCCCATAGCAGTTGTTCTCCTCAAGAACAAGCAGCGGGAGAGGGATGCTCGTGGTGTGAGGAAGGCGGTGGGCTGTATAATGGGTCACTGCTGCTGCTCACTGCCGGGTGAAGAAGGTGCGTGGGTGGTGAGACGAACGCGGGATGGTCATGGGTCACCAGTGGTCAGTAGCAGGTTTGGTAAACGCCCGGCTGAACTCGGACTCTGCAGTCGAAGAAGGCGCGTTCTGCAGGACGAAGCGACCGATGCCGCATCAGCTGTTTCGGCGATGGCAAGGTGAGTAGTAGGTCGAGTGTAACGTGTCCGCATAGTGCTCTCGTCCTTTACCAAATCTCGCATCCTTCCTTTATTTCTCGTCCTTTTCCCTTCCTCGCTCTTGATATTCACCTCGCACTTTCGCTCACGATTCCCCTTCCTCGCTTCCCCCGTGCCGTGCTTGAATCATCGCAAGCCTCTCACGTGCCGCACCTCTCGCGAATGCGCCTCTTCACCCTGCGACCCCTCTCCGCCATCCGCGCCTTGCACGTTGCAGCGCAAAACGTCTTGCCGCCTTCCCCTTGAAGTGCGACATCTTCTGCCATGACAGCTACGCATGGCGTTCGCCATCAGATGCCTTGCGCTGTGACTGGAGCTTGTGCCATGTGTGTGTGCAATCGACCATGTGATGGCTTGCGCGATTTCCCCCCCTCTCCCCCACCCTTCTCTCCCCGTTACACCTCCCGTTTTCCGTGCCGGTGCTCGTCTGAGGCGCCGTGGCAGAGGTGTGACGGCCGGGAGCCAAGGGATGGAAGGATCCAAGGGTGCCTCGAGGGAGCAGCAGCATCAGCGCCAGCAGCTGAAGCGCCGGCCGCACCTTGGAGCGCCGTTGCGATGACGACAAGTGCGGAAGGGAGGAAGCGAAGAAAGTGAATGGCGGCCGAAAGTGCGAAGTGACGAGTGAGGGAGAGACAGGAGGGAGCGAGCTGAAGGGAGAAGGGACTCCCCCTTCCTCCCTCCTCCGCTCTCTGCTTCTGCCTTTCCATGTAGGCATCGTGGCGGATGTATGGCGGTCTAGATCGGAACGTCAAGGCAGGCAGCAGCAAGAGCAGCGGCCAAAAACGCTTGCTGCCATTGGATGCTGATGTGGACTGTTGCAGGGGCAGGAGTGGGTCGATCGGAGCTGGCGAGGAGGCAGCAACAGGGCAGCGAAGCTACGTGCTGCAGCAGATGGGGCAGCAGTGGGGGGTGAGAAGGAAAGGTACGAGGCGAGAATACCGAGGGGAGTTCAGGAAGAAACGAGCAGACAGGAGCGAGGCGAGAGAGGGCAAGGGAGACGGGAAAAAGCATGCTTGTCAATGGGGAGTGAGTCCGCGCCTTCCTGCCGCCCTTCCTCTCCCTCCTCCTCCACCTCGCCCTCGTCGCCCCTCTCTCCCGCTCCCTCCCCCCCCTCCACGCCCCGATCACCACCTGAGCTTCAGCTGCTGACTTGGCAGCTCCTGGGCCTGCCACGTGGCTCGGTAGTGGCGCCGCTGTGGGGAATATGGATGGCATGGAGAGCTGGTCAGTGTGGCGTGGCAGATGCCAGCGATGAGAAAGAGGAAGTGGGGCGAAGTGCTCTCATTTTTTTAGAGAAGGAGCTGCAGGTGAGAGCCGCGGGGGTTGGGAGTAAGGTGAGCAGAAGGCGAGAAGGGCAGGAGGAATGGATGAGAAAGCGAGGTGTGTCTTCTGTAGGCACGACAGGAGATGCTGGCACTTATGAGATGCTGGCACTTATGAGATGCTGGCACTTATGAGATGCTGGCAGGTTAACAGAGGGGTAGATGGGATGGACAAGGCAAGATTCGAGCCTTGCGAGAGCGTGCGGGTGTGCAATCCTAATAGCAAGGTCTTGGAGTCTCGAAATGACTTTTCACACAGCGTCACTGTGGTGCCTTTAAAACTTTCCAATGCCATGATCCGCATCAACTGCTTCTTCAGATCCGCATGAGAGTTAGTTTTCTTATTTCGAGGTATTTGCCTTGTTAAGAGAATCGGGCGGCAAGTGCAAAACGAGTTCATTCACTTCTTACCTGATCAGAGAGGTCTTACTGTACTTGATCTGCCCCACCCTCACCCCTTTCCCTGCCCATCTCGCTCATTTTGTCCGTCTCTCCTCATAACTCAAACCCCCCCCTCCCCCACCCCCCCCCCACCTGCCCCCATCAGCACGCCCATGAGTTCCTTCAAAGCTGCCTTCATCGCTGCTGCTGCTGCTGCTGCTGCTGCTGCCTCTTCTGCCCACACCCATGCCCATGCTCCCACAAACACGCTCATGCTTACCCTGGGAGACGGCAGGGTGGCAGTTAGTAGGGCAGGAGGTGGGGAGGAAGGAGGGCTGTAGCACGAAGGGTGGAGGGAGGAGAGAACGCAGAAAGGGCGGAGGTTCACAAGAGAGGGTAGGGGAAGCTAGTGCTGGGGGGGGAGAAAGTCCATATGTGATGAGGAGCAATTTCTAGTCCACTGTGGTTATGGTGAGGGAGTGGAGGGTGGAGGGAAAGAGATGGGCAAAAATGAAACTTCTATTGTCTCTCATTGCCAATCCCTTCCTCCTACCCCATGTGCCACGCACCTCACTCTACCATTGCTGCTGGCTCTGCAACTCCGTATGCCACTGCTGCTCGTGCTGGTCCTGCTGCTGATGCTAGTACTCGTGCAGATGGCGCTAGTCATGATGCTTCCTCCCGTCTCAGCTACCATCCTTGCTCAACCCAGTTGTGCCACTTCACCTTTTTTTGGTAATGCTGAGCATGTTCATCTAAACGATCTCTATGTACCATGTGTTTCGTATCAACATAACATCTGCTTCCGTCTGTTCCTTCTACCTCGTTCTCTTCCCCATCGACGAGTTTCTTCTCTCCCTTCTCCCCACTTCCAGGATGAGATAGTGCAAGGCAGGGAGTGCACTCACTTTCACCGCTCTTCAACTTTATCTGCTTCTGCCTACCTACTCTCCCAACTCATTCACAGCCACGTGGCAACTCCTTTTTCACTCTGAAGGCCAGGGTGCCAGCCACAGTCTGCAGGCCTCAATGCCAAGCACAAAAGCATTTATCATTTTATTTAAATACATATGGTTAAGAGATTGTAGATATGGTCCACCAGTATATGCTGCTGTAGATGGACTTCATTCGCACGTTTCAAAGAGTGGGTAAGGTGCAATGAATGGATGGAAAAAGGCTCGTTGCATGATGTATGCAACATGTGGCGTGTGTGAAAGTGTGAATCGTTTAAACGTTTGGAAGTTATGATGTAAGAGACACTGAATAAATGTGAGCCTGGCACAAGCAATGCTAAACATTTGCGAATTTCAAGCAAACATCATCTCACGTTTCAATTTGTATCACATTTGGTTCAATGTTACGCCCTGTTACGGGTGCAATGAATCGAAGTAACGAGAATTGCACTAAGGTGTCAAACGAGTACAAAATGTGAGCGAAGGCATGAGCGAACATTTATATGCGAAACATGCAAACGGTAACGCGGTGCGTGCGAGCTAGCTAGTGCTACGCTGGAGCGAGGCTCGGGCTAGTCCCGAAGCGTAGGCCGACACGGCCAGGCCAGCAGTGCGAGGTTTGGTGAAACAGTGCGCGCGAAGTCGGCGAAGCCCCGTTAGCAGTAACGGGCGAACAACGGCTGTTGCTGTACGGGATGTAGTCGGGCTCCGTAAGGAATGCCGAGAAAATTCCTTACACTACCCCCCCCCTCAAGAAGCCCCCTCCGCTACGCGAGTGCGTGTATATCGCGGAATCCCCGGCTCCTCAGGTACACTTGCAGGGCAGGGTGGTTTTCGATGTTGGCCAGGGGCACCCAGCTGTCCTCAGTTGGCGTGCGATCCTTCCAGCGAACGAGGAATTCAATCCTCTTGATTCCCGTGGGGTGTCGAATCCGATGGCTCGGGATTTTTTCGGGCTCGAGGATCGGCTCCGATGCAGGGCGAGTCATGGATGGCGGGCGGTGGCGAGGCAGTTGGCTTGTGGTTGGGATGTAGGGGCGAAGCAAGCTGACATGGAACGAAGGGCTGATGTACCAGCCGGTCGGTAACAGTAGGTGCGCGGTTACTGGCGTGATCATGTGGCTGATTTGGAATGGGCCACAGTAGCGCGGTCGAAGTTTTGGTACGTCGGGCAGTCGCAGATTTTGCGTGTCGAGCAGTACGTAATCCCCTGACTGGTATGTGACTGGGCAGCGGTGGCGGTCAGCGTTGCGCTTAGCGATGACGTTCGCTTTTTTAATTGCTTCTGCGGCTCTGGTGCGGGCAGCTTGCAGAATTTCGGCGAATTGCTGTGCACGTGGTGTTGGGTTGTCCGGACTCGGCGTCATGGGCACTGTAGGGTTTTGCTCGTAGTTCAGGTAGAAAGGGGACTGCTGCGTCGTCGCTGACGTGGCATTGTTGTACGCGAACTCGATCAGCGGCAGCTGCTGCTCCCAAGTCGTGGGGTCGTCGCACATGGCACGAATCAACTGCTCCATCGTCTGATTCGTCCGCTCCGTTTGACCGTCGGTCTCGGGGTGGTACGACGAACTAAACTGTAGTCTGGTCCCGAACTGCTCCCAGAGATTTTTCCAGAAGTTGCTGGTAAACTTCGTGTCCCTGTCGCTGATAATCGCTGCTGGTATCCCGTGCAGACGAACAACGGCTGCGATGAACAGACGAGCGGTTTCCTCGGTTGAGATCGACTTTTTGCACGCAGCGAAGTGTGCCATCTTCGTCAACTATCAACGACGACCATCACCGCGTCGTTACCCCCAGGGTTCGAAGGTAACCCTGTGACGAAGTCCATGGTGACCTGCTGCCAGGCGCGTTCGGGCGGTGGTATCGGCTGCAATTGACCCGCCTTCCGCTTCCTCGAGCTCTTCATCACCTGACACGTGGGGCACGAGCCCACGTGCTGCTGTACGTCGGTCAACAGCTCCGGCCAGTAGTAATACTGCTGCAGCTGCTGTCGCGTTTTTTCTACCCCAAAATGTCCCGAGGTAATTCCGTCATGTGCCTCCTGCAGTAGCAGCTCCCTCAGTAGTGAGTACGCGGGTACCCAGATGCGGTTGGTGTCTGTTTTTACGTAATAAACTCCTTTAGCTTCTGCCAGTTGCTGTGAATTTCCGGTCGTGAAGAATGGGTCAGTGCGGTATCCGTGGGTAAATAGGCCTGTTAAAAGTGGGTTGGTCTGGGCGAGTAGGATGGCGTGGAGTTGGGCGGTAGGGCGGGTGAGTGCGTCGGCGATGTTGGATGCGCCTTTCTTGTACGTAACCGTGTAGTGGAAGTTGGACTCGAGGTAGTCCAACCAGCGAATCTGTCGTGGATTGAGATTCGGTTGGGCGCGTAAGTACTGTAGTGATCGGTGGTCTGTCCGTACTGTCACGTCGGCGCCAGTCAGGTAACACCGCCAAACCTTGAACGCGTGCACGATCCCCAACATTTCGCGGTCGTGTATCGGGTAGTTGCGTTCGGGCGGGTGCAGCTTGCGGGACTCGTACGCGATTGGCTGGAGGCCGTTCCCGAAATCCTGCAACAGTACTGCTCCCACAGCGATGTCACTTGCGTCAGTGACGAGCTCGAACGGACGGTGTGGATCTGCGATGTGAAGCACGGGCGGTAAGCACAAAATGTTTTTGAGGGCCGAGAAGGCAGCTTGCTCTTTCTCCCCCCACGTGTACTCAACCCCCTTCCTCAGCAGGCCAGTCAACGGGGCAGTCAGCTTCGCCATGTCGGGGACAAACCGGCGCACGTAGTTGACGAACCCCAAAAAACTCTGCAACACGGTCAAGTTGGTCGGCGCGTGCCATGCTTGAATCGTCGCAATTTTCTTCGGGTCTATTTCCACTCCTGCAGCTGAAATAACGTGTCCCAAAAACTCCAGGCGGTCCTGTCAGAGTTATATGACATAGCTTCTGTAGGCTATAGTGGGGTAGCACATATGGGGTACAGTTGCCTAGGGTTTGCCTTTTGTACCCAACTTTCACTTAGTCATTTCATTCCTGTTTTCTTGATTCACATGGTATAGAGCGGGTTCCTACATGGGACCGTTCCTTCCTAAGGGCCCACCATAAGATTTTTTTTTTTAGCTGCCCGCGCACATTGCGCCCTGCCCTAAATTTTTTTTTTTAGCGGCCCCTACGCTGCCCCTACGCCGCCTCCCACGCGCCCCCTATGCGGCCCCTGGCGGCGCCCTGACGAGGCCCCTGCCGGCGCCCTATCGCGGCCCCTGACGCGCCCCCTGGTGGCGCCCTGACGCCCGCCCTGACGCGGCCCCTGGCGGCGCCCTGACGCGGCCCCTGCCGGCGCCCTATCGCGGCCCCTGACGCGGCCCCTGGTGGCGCCCTGAAGCGGCCCTGACGCGGCCTGACGCGGCCCCTGGCGGCGCCCTGACGCGGCCCTGCCGTGGCCCCTGACGCGGCCCTGACGTGGACTGCCGCGGCCCCTGCCGCGGCCCTGAAGCGGCCCCTGACGCGGCCCTGACACGGCTCTGCCGCGGCCCTGACGCGGCCCTGACGCGGCCCTGCCGCGGCCCCTGGCGGCGCCCTGACGCGGCCCCTGACGCGGCGCCCTGACGCGGCCCCTGCCGCGGCCCTGACGCGGCCCTGCCGCGGCCCCTGACGCGGCCCTGACGCGGCCTGCTGCGGCCCCTGCCGCGGCCCTGAAGCGGCCCCTGACGCGGCCCTGACGCGGCTCTGCCGCGGCCCTGACGCGGCCCTGACGCGGCCCCTGCCGCGGCCCCTGGCGGCGCCCTGACGCGGCCCCTGACGCGGCGCCCTGACGCGGCCCTGCCGCGGCCCCTGACGCAGCCCCTGCCGCGGCCCCTGACGCGGCCCCTGACGCGGCCCCTGTCGCGGCCCCTGACGCGGCCCCGCCACCTACCTTTCCGGCCACGCCGCCTCCTCTCAGCGGCCCCGCCGCCTCCTCCCAGCGGCCCCGGACGCCACCCTCTCAGCGGCCCCGCCGAGCCGCCCAGCAGCCTAGCCGCCCAGCAGCTGAGCCACCGAGCCGCCCAGCAGCCGAGCCGCCGAGCCGCCCAGCAGCCGAGCCGCCCAGCAGCAGAGCCGCCGAGCCGCCCAGCAGCAGAGCCGCCGAGCCGCCCAGCAGCCGAGCCGCTGAGCCGCCCAGCCGCCGAGCCGCCCAGCAGCCGAGCCGCCCAGCAGCCGAGTCGCCGAGCCGCCCTGCAGCCGAGCCGCCCGAGCCGCCCTGTCCGGTAAGAGCAGCGCCTCTCTCACAGCACTGCCCTCACCCCACTGTTTGCGCTGCTAGTCTACTGCTGTCATGGCTACCCCTAGTGTCCTCGCTTTTGACGCTGAGGGTCGGGCCATTGACTTTGACGTCTGGATAGATGACCTGCAGCTTTTCTT